AATTTACCCGTAACTCTCTCTAACTAATCAATCTAATGTCACGTGCGTAAACTATTTGTCTTTGAATTGGTTGAATTTATTTATGTAAAAAACCCATGACTTAGATATATTGTGTAATCTCGTTTGTTAAATGCATGAGTTGATGTATCAAGGAAGACATGGGAGAAAATGGCAAGCCTCTTTCTAGAATTTTTACATATTAATTAATGTTAATGGATAAGATAAATAATCCAATCCACTAATAAAATTATAACATAATGAATATTATTTTCGAAAGTAGACCAATTTCCTAATCAAGCAATTCAATTAGGAACATGTTGAAAAAGTATAATACTCCCAACAGTATATATGTATAAATATATTCATTTATTAGACAGTGATTGTCAACTTTCAAAATTGAACATAAATAATATAAAAAAATCATAAAAAAAACCTAACCCAACATGGCATATTCTTTAGTGGATCTCTTGTTATTCCTAATTTGACAATTTAATATAATTTGTTTTGAAGATTGATTAATTAATTAATTTTAAATTTTACTATAAAGGAAAAATCATGTAAGGCAAGCTTGCCCATTTTCCACAACAAGAGAAATAGTAAGTTTTCATCAACTTAGTATTATCACTGCATATATAAACCTTATTTAGTTATATTATGTGCTTTGAAATATTGAATAAAAAACCCGAAAAAAAAGATAAGTAAAAAGAATCATAAAAAAGGGAGTGACAAAAGCTAAGTGGGGAGAGGGAGAAGTACAAATAACATGACATATACACTCACATGGAGGAGTGTAGAGAGAGAAAGAAAGGAAGAGAGAGAGAGAAAGGGGCCTTCTCTTTTTTTTTTTTTGGTTTACATTGCCATCTGTTATATTGGGGAGTACTATTCGGGTTTTTCAAAGCCTCTCAGTTTAAAAACTGGGGGGGCTTTGGTGCTTTGCATTTTAAGCTGATGAAGCCGAAGGAAAAAAAGAAAGAAGGAAAACCCATTTTTGTGCCTTTTTAAAGCTTTCTATTAAGATTCTCTCTTTTTTGAGATAAATCCATTTTAGTTTTTCAGCTCTTGAACCCTAAATTAAAGTTTGTTCCTTGATCTACTTTTGCATGTTGATCAAAACATGCATTGTAAAGGTGAGCTCTTTTTGTTTTGTTTTTTTTGGATAAAGTTTTGAAAGTTTGGGTGTTTGGTATTTGGATGAATGCATGTGAAGTTTTGTGATTGTGGCTTCATGGTTTTGATCTGCATCTTGTTTGGTTTTCTGGGTCCTCGTATATTTTGGATTTTGATTTCATTTAGCATTTCTTGTGATTTTCCTTTCTTTTTCTGCTGGACTTTTATTTTTTAAAGTTTCAGGATTTTTTTCGGATTTGTTTGGTGTTGTTTTTTTTTT